AGACACGCAGGGGAGGTAGTAAGGAGAGCGAGCCAGGAGAAAGAGCAAGGAGAGACAGCCAGGGGAGAGAGCGAGGAGAGGCAGCCAGGAGAGAGAGTGAGGAGAGACAGCCAGGAGAAAGAGCGAGGAGAGACAGCCAGGGGAGGGAGTAAGGAGAGATAGCCAGGAGAAAGAGCAAGGAGAGACAGCCAGGGGAGGGAGTAAGGAGACCAGCTATAGAGGACTACAAATCCCAGCAACACATTATAGAGCAATACAAAATAATATGAAGCTACATACTCGGTGTTGTTCTGGGTTGGTGCCCTGATGACCCTGGTGGCCTGTGTGGGCTCTCAGATGGGCTGTGCAACTCTCACTTGGGCTGTGTGACCCTCAGGGGGCTGTGCACACTCTCGGGTGGGCTATGCACCTCTCAGGTCGGCTAAGAGGCTCTTAGGTGGGCAGTGCAACTCTCAGGGGGGCTGTGTGCCTCTCAGGGTGGCCATGCGCACTCTCCGGTGGGTTATTAGGCTCTTAGGTAGGCTGTATACCTCTCAGGTGGGCTGTCTGGGCTATGGTGTCTCACAAGGGGTCTGCAGGAGGGAAGCATGCTGACAGGAAGATGGAGGATGAGGAGAAGAAGGCAATGACAGATGCGGCTGCCTTGGTCCCCGGCAAGCGTGATCTCGAGCAGCCGCATCTGCCTGAAACCAGATCTTCCTCTGAGCTGCGGGTAAAGAGGCACAGGCTGCCCGCAGCTCAGAGTAAGATTCAGCTTCAGGCAGATGCGGCTGCTCGAGATCACGCTTGCCGGGGACCTCGGCAGCCGCATCTGTCAGAAAGTGTCGGCACCGAGCGTCTTGTGTCCGGGTGCCCGCTGGCTGGACACAAGACTCCAAAATCGGACTGTCTGGGTGAAAACCAGATGGGTGGCAACCCTTCCTAATATGTATAACCATAAGAGTTCAGAGTGGGTGTACTTTCTTTTTCACACAACTGTATTTAGAGAGTCCAGAATTCATGTGAACGAACGGCCTAGATTGTCCAGTTTGCAGTGCGCATTGAATTCGGGGGGTCGGTCTAGAAGACGGACATGGGTATCCTTCTGTGTCTAAAGCAGGGGTAGCAAACCTCCGGCCCTCCAGCTGCGGTGAAACTACAAATCCCATGATGCATCTCTCTTTGGGAGTCATGTCTGTGGCAATGCCTCATGGGATTTGTAGTTCCACCACAGCTGGAGGGCCAGAGGTTTGCTACCCCTGGTCTAAAGCAATGATGGAGGAGATAGAAGAGCTACAACAGGCCTGTTGTGATGATGAGGAGGTATGGGAATAACTTGGGGTACAGAAAACCCAGTCGCAATCAAGCCTACCCAATGTATATGGGGAACGTTCCTGGGTTGCAGGTAGAATTGGGACCCGGGGTGATACATCCATGAGGAGAGGGTGGTGCCTAAAAAGACCAGTAATAGGCCATTGAGATATCTGACTCTGAGGGAAGAATGGTCCAAGTTCCAGATGCACACTACTACAAGGATGGTTCTTGTATGCTTTCCATTGGGCTTGACACATTAGTGGGCTAGCTGGTCCTGGGCTTGACACATTAGTGGGCTAGCTGGTCCTGGGCTTGACACATTAGTGGGCTAGCTCGCCTGAATACTCGGTATCAGCACTAATTCTAGTATCGATAGTTGCCACACAGCAAAGTGATCAGACACAGCGCCTGAGGAGTCAACATTCTATGAACTGCTGATTAGTGGGACGGAATTCTTCCTTTCACACTCTCCATACTGACTCTCGTCACAGAAGGTGGAGCGGGTGGTGCGGGGAGGAGAGCTCCGCCTCCTGGGACACCGCTGACAGCGGTCTCCTCCCTGCTCCTCCAGCTCCGCCTCCTTTTGACGGCTGTCTCCTCCCCGCACCACTCTCCGTCCTGATTTGCTTGTCACAGAAGGTAAGGCGGGGCAGTGCGGGAGGAGAGCTCGGCCTCGTGGGACACCTCTGACAGCGGTCTCCTCCCTGCACCTCCAGCTCCGCCTCCTGTGACGGCTGTCTCCTCCCTGCACCACTCTCCGTCCTGATTTGCTTGTCACAGAAGGTAAGGCGGGGCAGTGCGGGAGGAGAGCTCGGCCTCGTGGGACACCTCTGACAGCGGTCTCCTCCCTGCACCTCCAGCTCCGCCTCCTGTGACGGCTGTCTCCTCCCTGCACCACTCTCCGTCCTGATTTGCTTGTCACAGAAGGTAAGGCGGGGCAGTGCGGGAGGAGAGCTCGGCCTCGTGGGACACCTCTGACAGCGGTCTCCTCCCTGCTCCTCCAGCTCCGCCTCCTGTGATGGCGCTCTCCTCAGCCTCCTGAAAGTTTCCCTCCTCCCCGCTGGTCAATGCGTCAGAGAAGAGAAACTAGAGGTGAGCCGCATTTTCGGCATAAAAATTGTACTTTTTCGGCCAACCAAAATCTTGGAACATGCCAAGTGTGCCATCAGGGAAGAAACATCCATTTTAGGAAAAACCTGATCATTCAGTATATTCAGGGAGGCAGCTGACCTCATTTTTTGGGGACACAGCATTGCCAAATCTAGACCTGACCAACTGAAGATACCCCACATAATAATACTGCCCCCCAAAGGCATGTACAGTAGGCACAACGTCTCATCACTTCCTCCACCTCACATCTTACCCCTGATGCCCCCATCACTCTGGAACGGGGTAAATCCGGACTCATCAGACCACATGACCTTTTCCCATGGCTCCAGCCTCAAATCTTTATGCTCCTGTTGTGTACCTTGGTATGAGCCTGATGCACCCCCATTTTTAAGATGCCCCCAAAATTATTGGTGACAGATTTCTGGCACAGGAAGCAGAGATCGAAGACGTAAAGACAAAAGGGCCTCTGGCCGATATAAGGAGTGAAAGAATGCGGCGCGCCCATCGGCAATTCCGCGTGCGGTCAAATGACGGTAACAGTGGGATCGGCTGAAGACGCATGGTGACATAAACCCAGAACACTACACTACTATGGGTCAAGCACGTGTAACGCATAGGGTGCAGGGATCAGGAGTAACGCAGAACACAGGGATCAAGAGTGCAGGGGGCAGTAGTAGGTCACACATGGAGTACAGGGGTCATAAGTAGGGGACAGTAGAAAGGAACACAGAGTTCAGGGGTCAGCATTAGGTAGGGTCAGTAGTAAATGATGCAAGGTTCAGTAGTATGAAAGTAGGGTACAGGGGTCATTAGAAAGTGATGCAGGGTTCAGGGGTCAGTATTAAGTAATGCAGGGTTCAGTAGTAAATGATGCAAGGTTCAGGGGTCAGTATTAAATGATGCAAGGTTCAGAGGTCAGTAGTAAGGAACGCATAATTCAGGGGTCATTAGAAACTGACGAAGGGTTCAGAAGTAACGTTTGGTTCAGGGGTCATTAGTAAGTGATGCAGAGTTCAGAGGTCAGTAGAAGATGACGCAGAGTTCAGGGGGACAGTAGTAAGTAATGCAGAGTTCAGGGGGACAGTAGTAAAGCAGGGGTCAATAGTAAGCAATGAGGTCAGCAGTAAGTGATGCGGGGCTCAGAGGTCAGTGATGCAGAGTTCAGGGGTCAGTAGTGTCACAGGGTCAGTAGTAAGTAAGGCAGAGTTCAGGCGTCAGTAGCAAAGCAGGGTTCAGGGGTCAATAATAATCAACGCAGAGTTCATGGGTCAGCAGTAATGCAGGGAACAGGGGTCAGTAGTAAGTAACGCAGGGTTCAGAGTTCAGTAGTAAGTAATGCATAGTTCAGGGGTCATTAGCAAGCGACGCAAGATTCAGTAGTAATGCTTTGTTCAGGGGTGATTAGTAAGTGACGCAGAGTTCAGGGGTCAGTAATAAGTGACGCAGAATGAAAATATGGAGTGGAAATGACGGGGGGGGGGGTAGTAATGCAGAGTTCAGGAGTCAGTAGTAACGCAGGGTTCAGAGGTCAGTAGTGACGCAAAGTTCAGGGGTCAGTAGTAAGCGTTGCAGGTTTCAGAGGTCTGTAGTAACGCAGAGTTCACTGGACAGTAATACGTGACACAGCGAGTTCAGGGGTCAGCAGTAACGCAGGGTTCAGGGGTCAGTAGTAAGTAACGCAGTGTTCAGGGGTCATTAGTGTCGCAGGGTTCAGTAGTAACGCAGGGTTCAGTAGTAAGTAACGCAGGGTTCAGTAGTAACGCAGGGTTCAGGGTTCAGTAGTAACGCAGGGTTCAGGGTTCAGTAGTACGTAACGCAGCGTTCAGGGGTCAGTAGTGTCGCAGGGTTCAGGGGTCAGTAGTAAGTAACGCAGGGTTCAGTAGTAACGCAGGGTTCAGGGGTCAGTAGTAAGTAACGCAGCGTTCAGGGGTCAGTAGTGTCGCAGGGTTCAGGGGTCAGTAGTAAGTAACGCAGTGTTCAGGGGTCAGTAGAAAGTGATGCATTGTCCTATAGGCAGCCATCAGTGCAAGAACAAACCTGGCTGTATAGGACCGCAGATCACTGCCACCAAGGACAGCGCTGGGGATGCTCGTTTCCCGGGGATAGACCTCTAAAAATGGGGACTAATGATAACTTATCTGAAGACGACCTTTATCAATCACCTTACAACGGATATCATAAGAAGGAGATATATATATTTATTCTCATTTGTTACATTGTAATGTCTGTTAATATATTTGTATCTTTATCAGGGAAATGTGAAATGTTCCATCTGAAGACGTCATATCTTCCACTTTCCTCCAGCAGGGGGCTCTCCAGAGTCCATGAAGCTGCCTGTGCAGACTGATCACTACTGCAGTGACATGGTCAGTCCCGTCATGTAGTCTGATCTCCCCTTCTCTTCATCCACACGCAGTGAGATCTCTGGTGTCTGTTCAGATGAGTCTTCCTCGAAAAACATTTGCCGCACTCAGGGCAAGCATACGGCTTCTCGCCCGTGTGAGACCTCTGATGTACGTAAAGCTGGGACGCATATAAATAACTTTTTCTGCACTCAAAACAGGAATATGGCTTCTCGCCTGTGTGCGTTCTCTGGTGCCTGGTAAAACTGATCTTATTTGAAAAACTCTTTCCACACTCAGAGCAGGAATGCGGCTTCTCCCCAGTGTGAGACCTTTGGTGTGTAACAAGGTCTGATTTCTGTCTATAACATTTTCCACACTCAGGGCAGGAATATGGTTTCTCCCCCGTGTGGAATCTTTGATGTATAGAAAGATGGATTTGTTGTGAGAAACATTTTCCGCATTCAGAGCAAGAAAATGATTTCTCACCCGTGTGCAACCTCTGATGTTTGAATAGATTGGACTTTTGGGAAAAACATTTCCCGCACTCAGAGCATGAATATGGCCTCTCCCCCGTGTGAGATCTTTGATGTATAACCAGTTCTGATTTCCGTGAATAACATTTCCCGCACTGAGGGCAGGAAAACAGCTTCTGCCCTGTGTGTGATCTCTGATGTCTGGAAAGGTTGGACTTCTGTGAAAAACATTTATCGCACTCATGGCAGGAATATGGCTTCTCCCCTGTGTGTAATCTCTGATGCTCAGAAAGATTGGACTTCTGTGAAAAACATTTCCCACACTCCGAGCAAGAATATGGCTTCTCCCCTGTGTGCAGTCTCTGATGCTCGGAAAGATTGTACTTCTGTGAAAAACGTTTCCCACACTCAGAACAAGAATATGGCTTCTCCCCCGTGTGTAATCTTTTATGCTCAGAAAGATTGGACTTCTGTGAAAAATGTTTCCCACACTCAGAACAAGAATATGGCTTCTCCCCTGTATGAGACCTGTAATGTGTGACAAGCTCTGATTTATAAAGAAAACATTTTTGACACTCTGAGCAGGAAAGAAGCTTCTCACCCATATGAGATCTCTGATGTTCAGAAAGACTTAATTCAGAGGTAAATCTTTCCCCACACTCGGGGCAGGAAAATGTCTTCTCCTCCTGAATTCCGGCACCATCCCCCACAGGACGAGGTTTCTCAGATTTAAAGGATTTCAATGCTCTATCCACACTGTGAAGTCCACCATCCATAGCTGAGCTCATTGTCTCTTCTCCCGCACAATCTGCTGGGATGTCCTCATCTTCCATCTTACAACCTGGAGATAAAGTCAGAGGATCCTTTGAGGGTTTCTCCATGGCGTGTCCTGGAAACATAGAAACACATGATGGAGAGATATGAGAGGGTTAGATGACTTCACTCAACATTCCATCTGGATCAGGAGGTCTGAGGGAGCAGATGTTCTCTGTGGAGGTCCCAACCAGCCGGGACTCCTCCCCTCTTCAGTCAAAAGGCCTTTGGTCTTCCTCCCAGATCACTTCTACATTTACATAGCCCTGTCAGAAGAGGAGGAGCCAATGGGGACTGGGAGGAGCATGCTCTTCACCCAACCACAAACCTAGGCACTGGGTCATGTGATCTCTGAGGAACAAGAGGATCAAAGTTCAGACTTGTAGACCCTTCACCACAGAACAAGTGACAACAGGCCTAGGCTTCTGGTGATGAGCAGCAGTGGACGGGTATCAGTACAGAGAGGCAACTATAATCAATATATTGCTGGCTGACATCACAGCTCCCACCCTACTCAGGACCAATCAACAGAGCAGAGATAACAGAAGAATATATTATGGGTCACCTTTGCTGATCTCTGTAGGAGTGTCCTCCTCTTTCAGTGTCCTCATCATTCCATCCTCCTCCGTATGTTGCTGATCATCCCTCACATACGTCTCTTCTACGTCACCCTCAACTTTCACCTTCATCAGATCTTCACCCTAAACCAAGAGAACGGCAGAAACTCTCATCTGTAAACTAGAAGCATTTTATGGAGAGCACAAACAATCCCAATCTCTGCGTTCATTGAAGGACACGGCGAAGATGGTAGATCTTTGGGGCATCACAAAAGCAGTGTCAACCGAGTGGTGGGCCAGAAGATGACCAATCCCCCTAAAACAAGACAAGCAGAATCATAATGCCGCCTGCAAAACCTTGCGCCCAAAACTTGTATCCACAGATGTGAAGAAATCAACCTTCAACCTGGTAGATTAGAACATGGAAAAGTTGGGAAGAGAAGACAAAGTGTCCTCTTTACAAATCTGAGAAACGGAAGCACTATGCCCAGCCCGGGATGCACCGGCTGCTGTAGCTGAATGAGCTGTGACTGGAAACGGAGGTTCCTGACTCCTAATAGCTTGGACAATACTCCTTCCTCATCCATCTTGAAATCATAGCGGAAGAGTTCTCTCTGGAGAACCATCCGTGACAACAAAGAGAAAAGGCAGAAACCACCTTGGGAAGGAAAGATAGCCTTGGCCAGAGTACAACCTTCTCCGTATGTAAAACCAAAAAGGGGGACCTGCACACCAAGGCCGCCAACTGTGAAACCCTAGAGGCCAAAGTAACCTCCACCAAAAAGGCCACCTTCCCACATGGGGTCAACATGGGAAGCTCCTTTATGCTCTCAAAAGGAGGTTCTTGCGTAACAGAGACCACATATTTAGGTCCCACAGCGGCAACAGGGACCTCACAGGGGGCACAGTGTGAGCAATTTCTTGAACAAATGTGCAAACCACGGAATTGGACACCAAGGGCCATCGAAAGAATGGCCAAGGTCGAAATTTGACCCTTGACAGTACTCAATGCCAACCATTGATCCACCAACTTCCCTACGCGGACTCACACCAAGCAAAGCGTGTGATGATAGCTCCTTTGAGAAGTAGGTTTGCGAGCCTTGTGCATTGAGGGAATCACAGTGACGGGCAAACCCGTCTCACCATCTGGCTCTCAAAAGTCAAGCCGTTAAAGCCAGCGATTGTAAAGCAGGACGGAAGATGGAGCCATAAGGCTGGAGATCAGGCCAGAGTGGCAACGCTAGGTAGCATCAGCTACCAGACAAACCACAAACGCATTCCAAGACCTTTGCGGTTCATCTGGTATCCCCTCGGCTTCTAACATCTGAAGAAGATGCCGTAGAAGCTACAGAGGCGGGAAGGCATAGATTAGGGTGCACCAGTCCCGTGGAGACACAAGAGCATCCATTGCATCTGTCCATGGATCTTTGGTCCTGGCCACAAACTGAACTACCTTCCTGCTGACACCAAGAGATCCAAGTCCAGTGGTTCCCAAGAAAGGCAAATCTGATGAAAAAATTTGGATGGAGCAACCGCTCCCTGGAGCCCAGGACTGGTGACTGAGATAGCTTGCCAGTTGTGGACCCTGGGAATGTACACTGTGGAAAGAGCCAGAATGTGCCTCTTGAAGAATGCCCAACACTTCCTTTACAATGGCCACACTTCTTGTTCCTCCTTAATAATTGATGTAGGCCATGGCCAAGATTTTGTCCAACTGCACCACACCTTCTCCAGAGGATCCTTGAAATGCTTGGTCCAGTTCAGAAGCTCTACCTTCCTTCTGAGGCGAGATGTCAAGGAGATCCAAGTCAGGTGTTTCCCACCCGGTGAAGCAACCACTCTCCTGGATCCCAGGACTGGTCATTGAGATAGTCAGTTGTTGACCCCAGGAATAAAACTGTGGGAAAAGCGGGAATGTGCCGCTCTGCCCATTGAAGAATGTCCCACACTTACCATGGCCACACTTCTTGTTCCTCCTTGATGATTGATGTAGGCCATGGCGGACCCGCAGCAAAAGGGTTTAGATTCTTGAGATCCAGCATCGGGTGAACACCATCCTTTTTGGGGACAATCACCCCCTAAAGCAAAAGATCCATAACTGCTTGATGCCAGTCAATGAGGCGGGGTGCAGGTTTGAAGGGAAATACCTCTCCTCCAGGGGAGACAGGAAGTCTATATTGTAACTGAAGATATCAGCTCATGCACCCAATTGTTTGAAATGGGAGACAGCCAGAGATCCCCAATCTTCCAAAGGCGGCCTCCTACCCTGAGAAACAGAGGTGGAGGGCAAACGTTTCATGTGGAGAAGTGCTTTTTGGCAGGTCTGGATACCGCCAGGGGTCAAAAAGGAAAGACCAGACTTCCAAAGTGGGTCCTTGGGGTTCCTGACTTGTGATAAGAAGGTGCTCTTACCCCCCCTCCTAAGCAGACCAGCACTTAAGCCTCAGAAATCTGTGACAACGGTAGACACATAGAATTTGGAAACCAAAGGTTCGGTGTCCAGGGCAGCAGGTCTTATCCACACTACCAGGCACATCAGGCAATAGATCCTGGACAAAGCCATCCACGGCAGAGGCAAAAGCATCAAAGGAAAGGGAAGTACTAGGGGCACCATGAGGTTCTAGTGCCTTGGTTCTCAACTGGTGGGTCGTGACCCAAAAGTGGGTCACGGCCCCCTATTCAGTGGGTCACCGTGTACCTTCCACTATGCTAGGTGAGAGGCTTCTCAGCCTCCCCCTAACGCAGCAATATCAGTTCTCGTGCCAAGCAGCCATTTATATGCTACTCGGTGCCGAGTGTAAGCTTAAGGTGGGGTGGGCTGGAGCTATGGCCACGAGGGAGCTCCATCCATACATGCATTCATTCATTCATTCATTCATTCATTGCTTACAGCTCCCTCGCGTGTCCTGCAGAGGTGCCGGAACCGGAGTGACATCACGTTCTGGCTCTCTGACTCTCTACAGGGAGCTCAAGGAAGTTGCACAAGCAATGCACATCTGGATGGAGCTCCGTCTCAGCACAGCAGACCACACTGGACCCCGGGCTGAGGATCCACTCCAGTTTTCGTCAGGTAGGAAGACTGGGGGTGCCGCAATGCCGTGCGTTCCATCTCCGTGCGCCATGGGTCGCAACTTAATGACCAAAGACAAATGTGGGTCCTGAGGTTACGCAGGTTGAGAACCACTGCTCTAGTGGGAGCTCGGGAGGCACCAAAAAGGTGACTGGGGCAGTGACACAGGCATGTTAGACGCACACAGAGGGGAATGCAAGGGGTCCTCACAAGGGGGCCCACAAACCTCACATGCCAGAGATGAAACTCTCTCCCTGCATTCCTCCATAGACACAACAGAGATACTCACACCCAAAGACCAGCCGCCAAGTCTCCAGCCAAAAAATCCATGATCATGCAGGAAAGGTCACAAGACGTGGCCTCTGGAGAAGCACCACCCCAAAAATGTGGGCAGTGCAGTTGTGGATGCACAAGAAAGACTGCGACCACGGTGTGCTAGGCACCAGTACTGAAAGATAGGCCACAACCGTAGCCTCGCGCTGTACCCCCACAGTGAACCAGACTCAGGACCACACATCTGCGCCAGAGTCACTGCAAGACACAACCACCACCAGCAGACGTAGAGGCCGAAGCCAGGTAGGTGTACCTACATACAAGCAGCAGCTTTTCTTCCAGTAAACGCAGGGTTCTCCCAAGTAATGACAGACCACCTCTGGACGCAGCCAGGGCGCCACCTGCCGCTGTAGGGTACTGTGACTGGTTGGTCGAGACAACCCGGTCATGCGTACCATCACCAAGAATACACTCACAGGCTGCTCCAAGAACAGAGATGTCCCAGCCGATCCTGCCATGGTGAGGATCTGCATAGGCTCGGTGGCCGAGCTGGGTAGGACTACAAGGATCTTGGCATGTCCAGTCTTTCACCCAACTGGGAGGTGCTTGGAGGTCCATCAACAAAATCGGAAAAACAGAAAGAAAATTCTCACCCGAGACTTTTAGGTCCTAATTCCTAACAATAGGTGAAAAACTGAGGTGGGGAACTGAGCAGGTGGTGAGATGGCCACCAGCAGAGGCCATCCCTAGGCACTTTTTGTGCTTAGCGTCCTACTATAGGTGGCGCAATAACCGAGAGGTTCCAGATCTACAATCTTCCCCGTGTCCTTCATTGTTGGAAGAGAAAATAGGAATTTCTGATGCGAGATCACATAGAAGATATCATCTTGTAGAGTCCACATGTCAAAGTGTTCAATCACATTACGTTCCAGACCCTCAACTCCACCTACCTGATCATGGTGGGGGATGGTGAGATCTTCCTGTGTGGGATCCCGGGAATACAGAGGACGGGGACATCTCTCTGGTGGGTTCCTCTTACTGGATCCATCTGTAGGAAACACACACACTGACTGAATACATTGTTTCTATGTGTGTATCAGATGATGGGGGATCTAGGTGGACCCTCCGTACTGCTCTCTCCTCTTACCTGGTGATGTGAGGGGCGGCTGGTCCTCCATCATGACGTCCTTGTAGAGATCCCGGTGTCCTTCTAGATACTCCCACTCCTCCATGGAGACATAGACAGAGACCTCCTGACACCTTATAGGAACCTGACACACACAATGATAGTCACCATCCAGACCCACCCCTAGTCTGTTCCTGGATCATGTCCCAGAATTCCCGGCACCGCTCACCTCTCCTGTCAGCAGCTCCATCATCTTCTTGATGACCTCTAGAATCTTCTCCATGTTTTGTCTCTCGGGTTTTAGGGAGTCACATGGAGGCACTGTGATGGTCAGATGGTCACCTGACTTCAGAAGAGGAAAACTCTGGATGGAGAAACCAATAGGAATATCATATTAGAATCCCAGAATCCTCCTCACCTCTCCGGTCAGGTCTGTGTTTTATTAATGGAGATAAGAGTGATGTCATGTGACCTCCCAGAATCCTCCTCACCTCTCCGGTCAGGTCTGTGTTTTATTAATGGAGATAAGAGTGATGTCATGTGACCTCCCAGAATCCTCCTCACCAGTGGACGGATGGTGGAGAATTATCTGGACTGTACTGGTTGTATAATATTAGGATGGGGATATAAGGGGGTAATAGGTGGGCTGCCCCCAGTGGGAATTTCCCCATGTAGATGGGGGTCACTCAGTGTTTGTTGGGTTTCTTGCCCACTACAAACCTGTTATATTTCATCCAACTTGCCTGATCAGGTAACGCATAGCGTACAGGGGTCATGAGTTGGTAACACATGGAGTACCCCCCTATAGACCTCCTCCCGCAATATAAACTTCTCCCCTCTACAGACCTCCTCCCCTCTATAGACCTCCTCCCCTCTATAGACCTCCTCCCCAATACAGACCTCCTCACCAAAACAGACCTTCTCCCCTCTATAGACCTCATCCCCCAATATAGATCTCCTCCCCCATACAGACCTCCTCCCCCAATACAGACCTTCTCCTGAATACAGACCTCCTCCCCCAATACAGATTTCTCTCCTCCACAGACCTCCTCCATCAATACAGACCTTCTCCCCTCTATAGACCTCCTCCCTCAATACAGACCTTCTCCCCCAATACAGACCTTCTCCCCTCTATAGACCTCCTCCCTCAATACAGACCTTCTCCCCTCTATAGACCTCCTCCCTCAATACAGACCTTCTCCCCCAATACAGACCTTCTCCCCCAATACAGACCTCCTCCCTCAATACAGACCTCCTCCCTCAATACAGACCTCCTCCCCTCTATAGACCTCCTCCCCCAATACAGACCTTCTCCACTCTATAGACCTCCTCCCCTAATACAGACCTTCTCCCCTCTATAGACCTCCTCCCTCAATACAGACCTTCTCCCCTATATAGACCTCCTCCCTCAATACAGACCTTCTCCCCTCTATAGAGCTCCTCTCTATAGACCTCCTCCCTCAATACAGACCTTCTCCCCTCTACAGACCTCCTCCCTCAATACAGACCTTCTCCCCTCTATATACCTCCTCCCCCAATACAGACCTTCTCCCCTCTATAGACCTTCTCCTCTCTATAGACCTCCTCCCTCAATACAGACCTTCTCCCCTCTACAGACCTCCTCCCTCAATACAGACCTTCTCCCCTCTATAGACCTCCTCCCTCAATACAGACCTTCTCCCCTCTATAGACCTCCTCCCCCAATACAGACCTTCTCCCCTCTATAGACCTCCTCCCCTAATACAGACCTTCTCCCCTCTATAGACCTCCTCCCCTAATACAGACCTTCTCCCCTAATACAGACCTCCTCCCCTCTATAGACCTCCTCCCCTCTACAGTCCTCCTCCCTCAATACAGACCTTCTCCCCTCTATAGACCTCCTCCCTCAATACAGACCTTCTCCGCAATACAGACCTCCTCCGCAATACAGACCTCCTCCCCTCTATAGACCTCCTCCCTCAATACAGACCTTCTCCCCTCTATAGACCTCCTCCCTCAATACAGACCTTCTCCCCTATATAGACCTCCTCATACAGACCTCCTCCCTCAATACAGACCTTCTCCCCTCTACAGACCTCCTCCCTCAATACAGACCTTCTCCCCTCTATAGACCTCCTCCCTCAATACAGACCTTCTCCCCTCTATAGACCTCCTCCCCTAATACAGACCTTCTCCCCTCTATAGACCTCCTCCCCTAATACAGACCTTCTCCCTCAATACAGACCTCCACACCTCCTCAATACTTTGAGACTGTGAGGCTTCCACCAAGCCTGGAACTTAAAGGGTTATTAAACCCTCAGCTTTTTTTTGCATATATCTACTGCTAGCAAGATAAACGGATTAAGAGACATCATTTAAGGTAAGTGCTTTACTTAAAGTTGGGGTGAGGGAAATTTCTTTTGCTTTTAATGTCACTTTAATGTATTTATAATAAAAATTCTGGTACATAGAACATTGTTTATAGAGCTCTGTACATCAGAATAAAAAGTGGGACAACTCAGGAGAGAAGAGGGACAGATTGGAGGTCTTCTCACGTTCACCTAATGTCCGGCCTCTTCTCTGCTGGAGGTAGAAGAGAACTGACCTCCATCTTCCCTCTGATGTAGTGGAAGTTCTCGTCTCTGAACCAAAACAAAGAACATGTTCCGGACCCATAATTGGGTAGAAGTTCTGACTCTATGAGGGTCTATATAAATGTTTCTACACTATATATGCGTGTGTTATATCTCTGCTGGAGATAGAGGACATCACAGTGACTATGGAGGACGAGGATGGACATGACGGGGTGGGGGGGATAGGTTGCTGGGTGTAAATATCAAAGAATATCTTATTACCTCTGCTGCTTCCAGTTCTAGCAATGTCTTCTCACTACTTCCTGTCTTTACTTGACATCACTTCCCAGTCTACCATAGAGTCTTCCTGTCTCATATAGGTGAGATCACCACCCTGTGGAGCTCAGAGGAACTGCAGCCCCGAGAAACGTCTCGTAGTGAGAACACGTCCTTGTCATTGTTGCCGAGGGTCCCGGATGTTGGAGGACAGTCCCGGGATTTTTAGATCCTGCCCCAGGGTGTCCTCACGCCACAGGTTCCAGGGCGCTGTGCAGAGGGGCAGCGAGTTGCTGATTGCTGGAACATTCTCCGGGACCAGACTCTGCAATGATACCAGACTGTTGGGTGGAGGGATCTCCTTCGTGACAGTGAAACGCCGACATCAGCAGAGAGACCGCGACGCAGGAGAGTGTGATCAGGTAAGTAGAAGCACCGCCACCAATCCTGGGCTGGGGACAGACTGCTCCCACTGACACCAGCAATGGTGTGACAATCAGAGATGGGCTGCATGTACATCGCTAGCTTGTGTGTTCACCGAACATAATAACTATAAGGGCGTTTGGTGGTCTTTTCGATGCGCCTCGTGAAGCCATAATTGGCTAAAGGCTTCCGGGGTCAGGTGCAAGGGTCAAGGTCAGGTGCAAAACTTTGCCCAATCAGGGCTCAGTATTCTGTAAGAGCCATGATTGGGCAAAGTAATGATGACTTTGCCCAATCATGGCTCATAGCTAAATCCCAGCAGCACACTATATAAGCCCGCTTACACCACAGCCCTGCGTAGTGTGCCGCTGGAGTTAAAAAAAGAGAGAGTCTCTATCAGCGTTCTATCAGCGTTCTATCAGCGTTCTATCAGCGTTCTATCAGCGTTCTATCAGCGTTCTATCAGCGTTCTATCAGCGTTCTATCAGAGTTCTATCAGAGTTCTATCAGAGTTGTATTAGTGTACTATTATAACACTCGATTATTACTGACATGTCAGAAAGGCCAAAAAAGAGGAAGACGCTCCCGTGCAGCAATAAGAGTGCAAGCAGCCTCCGTGTCCACAGGCAAAAGTCGTGGTCGTGGTGCATCCTCTGCAGGCAGGGCACGATTGTCCTTTCTATCTGGTGCTGGCCGCAACATACAGAGGAGTTGGTGGATTGGATAACCGGGCAGCACGGTGGCGTATTGGTTAACGCTTCTGTCTCTGCCTGGCCAGGTCACTACCTGCAAGCAGTATTTCATGTTCTCCCTGTGCTTGCGTGGGTTTCCTCCCACACTGAAAAGACACGCGTGAAGGTAAATTGGCTCCTGTCTAAATCGGCCCTCATATGTATGCATGGGACCTTAGATTGTAAGCTCCATGAGGGTAGGGATTGATGTGAATGTGCAACTATGTAAAGTGCTGCGTAAATTATCGGCGCTATATAAATACCTGTAATAAATAACTAAGCCATCCTCATCCTCCTCATCCTGGTCACCCAGCCTCACACTGGTCCTCAGTCCACCGAGCCTCACACTGGTCCTCAGTCCACCGAGCCTCATACTGGTCACCCAGCCTAATACTGGTCCTTAGTCCACCGAGCCTCATACTGGTCACCCAGCCTAATACTGGTCCTCAGTCCACCGAGCCTCATACTGGTCCTTAGTCCACCGAGCCTCATACTGGTCACCCAGCCTAATACTGGTCCTCAGTCCACCGAGCCTCATACTGGTCACCCAGCCTCATACTGGTCCTCAGTCCACCGAGCCTCATACTGGTCACCCAGCCTCATACTGGTCCTCAGTCCACCAAGCCTCATACTGGTCCTCGGTCCACCGAGCCTCATACTGGTCACCTAGCCTCATACTGGTCCTCAGTCCACCAAGCCTCACACTGGTCCTCAGTCCACCGAGCCTCATACTGGTCCTCAGTCCACCAAGCCTCAAACTGGTCACCCAGCCTCATACTGGTCCTCAGTCCACCGAGCCTCATACTGGTCCTCAGTCCACCGAGCCTCATACTGGTCACCCAGCCTCATACTGGTCCTCAGTCCACTGCAGCTGCCAAAGCGTCTTATTCTGCCTCCTTGTCCACAGCGACTCCTGCCGTAGCCTCGCCATCACGCACGGAGGAGTCAGCTGAATTGTTTCACCACACCGTCAGTGACATGCTGCTGGAGGATGCGCAGCAATTCCAATGCTCTGATGTTGGCTCTGAGGTTGAGGAAGGGAGTAACATCAGCCTAGAGGAGGGGGTGCCAATGATGGACAACGAACCGGCACTCCTGTTCCCCCAGCTGCAGCATACTGCCAGGTTGTCTCCAGTGGCGAGTACATAGGAGGAGATGATGATGAGGTCACTGACTCCACTTGGGTGCCTGATCGAAGAGAGGAGGAAAGTGAGGAGGAGGCACAACCCCAACGAGGGAGGACGTCCTCCAGGGGCAGCCGTATGATCAGCCAGCCCATCGCATCAGAAGGCAGAGCTGCACTGGTGCAGGGCGCTGTTGTCTCGCAGCACACGTCCAGGAACTCAGCTTTCCGGGAGTTTTTCACCCCATGTGCAGCAGACCGTAGCATTGCTTTTTGCAACCTGTGTCCCGAGGATCAAGATCAACCGCTTGGGTACCACGTGCTTCAAGAGACATCTGACCACCTGACACGCAGCCCATTGGCAACAGCACCATAGAATGGACAACACTTCTCCTCGCTCCTCATCTGTCATCTC